TATATATAATATATATTATACTATATATAATATATAATATTATATATTATCTGCCTATACCTATACCTATATTAATACTTATGTTGTAAAGCTGCTTTTCATTCCCCTCATTCCCCTTTCCTCCCCAGCTGTCGAACGCGTCAGGGGAGGCTGAGACCGAGGGGTCCTTGGTATTATATAATATTATATATTATATATATATAATATTATATATTATATACCTATACCTATACCTTTATGATACCTATGTTATAACGCTACTTTTCATTCCCCAATTCCCTCTCCCTCCCCAGCTGTCGAACGCGTCAGGGGAGGCTGAGACCGAGGGGTCATTGGTATTATATTATATATATATAATATATAATATAATATATTATCTGCCTATACCTATACCTATATTAATACCTATGTTATAAAGGCACTACTCATTCCCCAATTTCCCCTCCCTCCCCAGCTGTCGAACGCGTCTGGGGAGGCTGAGACCGAGGGGTCCTTAGTGATCCGCGCTCCCCCCGAGTTCCTTACTCCCCTTAAGGACGCCTGCGCCAAGGAAGGGGCTAAGGACATCAAGATGCTGGTTGAATTCCAGGCCAACCCTAAGCCTGCAGTTAAATGGTGGGGCTCATTACATCAAATGATAGGGCTCACTACATCAAATGGTGGGGATCTTTACATCAAATGGTGGGGCTCATTGCATCAAATTATGGATTCATTACATCATTTGCCCAAAACACACTCCCTGTTAACCCCAGTCACCCCTATTACCCCACTGTTAACCCCAACCTCCCCTCTTCCCGCAGGACGTTCAACGGTAAGCCCATCAGGGCGGAGACCGAGGGCTTCACCATCAAGAGCACCGACACCACCAGCATGTTGGTGATCGCTTGTGCCTCCCCCGCGGTTGTGGGGGGGTACTCCGTCACGGTGAGGGGGTGGGGGCTGTCTCTTATACACATCTAGATGTGTATAAGAGACAGGTTATGGACAGTACCAGTAACTATTACCCTTATTACCAACTCAGGTGATGGCCAGTAACCCAACTATTACCTTTATTACNCTAGATGTGTATAAGAGACAGGGCCAACACCGCGCAGGGCAGGCTAGGAGCTGTGGGGGAGCAGGTATGGCGCAGGCATGTCTCTTTTTGAACTTGAAATATAAAATTAATGAAATCCATTCTGCAAATTGGCCACTCCTGGAGCTTGAGGTTTAAATTTTGCTTCAAGACTGTTGGAACACGGCGCGCATTATGGATTCTTCGCTAAAACTGCTCCAAACCTGCTCCAAACCTACTCCAAACCTGCACCAAACCAGCTCCAAACCTGTTCTTAGTCTTCCCTAAATCGGCTTTTAATCCGCTCCCAGCCTGCTCTAAATTTGCTCTGTTGCTTCAATCGGCACAGACACAAGCTCCGAATTGTAACTGGGAAGCAGAGTACGTTACGTGAAGTGCGGCAAAAATTAGTTTAAGGGAGTATAAATTAAATGAAATGGAACCTCTGAATTATATGAACAATTTATAGGCAAATTTTGCTCTAGCGGGATCAATTTTAACATAAGTGGAGTTCAAGATAATGAATCCAATAGAAATAGGAATTTCAATTTCAGTAGCTAAAATACCGCTGAAATGAACTTTTAGGGTATAAATCCAATAAAGATAAACATTTTGTTCAAGAAAATATGTCATAATTTATTTTTGGGCACTAAATGTTCAGCGTAGGATGTATACAGAGACCTCGTCCAAATAGCGTTTGCACTTTTCGCTCTTATGTGGGTCATCCTGACCCAGTTTGGCCCGGCAAAAGATGCATCAGTACCACTCGGAGCCTGTATCACTATATACATGACCCATGACGCGTTTTGTGGGTCATTCTGACCTAGTTTGACCCAGAAAAAGATATATCAGTACCACCCGGAGCATGTGTCACTATATAAACGTCACATGACGCGTTTTGTGGGTCATCCTGACCCAGTTTGGCCCAATATAAGATGAATCAGTACCACTCGTAGCAAGTGTCCCTTTATGGATGACCCATGACTCGTTTTGTGGGTCACCCTGACTCACTTTGACCCGGTATCCCTGCGTGCAGCTGAGCAACGAGTACGGGGACAGCGTGGGCAGCGCAAAGTTCCGCCTACACGAGGCGCCCTTAGTCCTTGAGCCCCTTAAGGACCAGGAGTTCCTTGAGGGCGGGGCCGCCAAGATTGCCCTTAAGGTGTCAGGCGTGCCCGTGCCGGAGATTAAGTGGTAAGTCAAGGGGTGGGTCAAGGGGCAGGTCAAGGGGTGGGTCAAGGGGTGGGTAAAAATGTGGGTAAAAAGGGGTGTGTCAAGGGGTAAAGACGTGCGACTCAGGACGCTACGTCGCCCACGTCAGCAACTGCGAGGGCGGCGTCACGTCCGAGGCGTCGTACGTCGTTAATAGTGAGTCACGTTACGTGTTATATAGTGGTTATATATTTTAATGGTGTTAATATATAATATAAATAGTGTTAATTATAGTGGTTATATATAAATAATAATATAGGGACGTCCGAAGCGACGTACGTCGTTAATAGTGAGTGACGTGCGGTGACGTGTTATATTGTGGTTATATATTATAATAGTGTTATATAATAGTAAAATATAGTAAATAATGTATAATAATAATATAATACAATAATATAATAGTATAATAGTATATATATATAATATATAATATAATATAATAATATAATATAAATAGTGCCAATATTAAAGTACGTCGTCAACAGTGAGTGACATTATGTGACGTGTTATATAGTGGTTATATATTATATGAGTGTTGACATATTTTAATGGTGTTAATAATAAATAATAATATTTATGTCGTGCTGAAATCCGGTATTGCCGACTCTATGGAATCGGCAGCCAGTTTGCCGAATATGTAGAATCAGTCAAGCGGTCAGCCAGCCAAGTTTTTTATTATTTAAATATAGAACTTGACCGAAATTGACATAGTGGCTAGTGACGTAAGACTAATACTATGTTACTAGTGTCATGTCACTAGTTTCGCACTAGTTACCGAATTTATTTAATGCTGGGGTTAGCAAATTACAATTTAAAATATTGGATCACATTCAATACATTTATGTCATTCAATAAGTTTGTTGAATTATTTATTTATGTTGAATTCATAAACTTCTTCGCACCAGTTGATCAATTTACATTCTCTAGATTCATTGACTGTATTAAATCAAATTATTAATTAATTCGTTCATGAATTAACGTTCATGTTTTTTCCGGCGTTTCTTGGTTTGGCCACCAAAGCTCCACTTAATATTAATTGAAAACGTTTTTATTAAATGGATAAGTAATTTAATCAAATTTCCCGTCTCAATTCATGATTTACTGTCTAAATTTTCTTGCAAAAATGTTCTTTCTAAAGTGTTTATGCTATTCCTACCTGAATTTTAGTCGACTTCTTTTAATGCAAAAATTGGGCTTCTTGGTCTTAATGCCATTCTTGCCTGAATTGTGGTTGGCTTGCTAATTTCCATGGCAAAAAATGGACTATTTGGCCTAATGCTATTCTTACCCGAACTTTGGTTGATTTCCTACTTTTCTAGTCAAAAAATGTGATTCTTTGATCGTAATGCTATTCTTACCTGAACTTTGGTTAACTTCCTATTTTCCATGCCAAAAAGTGCATTCTTACGTCCTGATGTTTTCCTTCCTGAATTGTGGTTGAACCTCTACTTCCCCTTTGATATTAGAGTTCAAGTTTGACTTTTTCCATGTGATTTAAAGGTTCAAATTTAACGCTTTTCAATTTGACTGAAAAGTGAAAGTTTGACGTTTTTTCGTTTGGCGGAAAAGTGAAGGTTTAGTGTTTTTTCGTTTGATGTAAACGTTCAAGTTTGATGCTTTTCCATCTGATGGAAAGGTAAGTGCAATTTTGATGAATGACCCAAATGTTTAAAGCTCACGATTATTGTATAGGTACAGGCAACTCGAAAAAGGAAAAACTGGAAAAGAAACGGAAAGAGGAGACAAAAAATAAAACCGAAGAAGAAAAGATGGATACTGAAACGAAGACGGGCGAGAAAGAAACTTTTAATGAATCATGTGAAACGCTAGCGACCATAACAGAGACAGATAAAAATCGGCTCGAGAAACACGAAACTGTGATGGACGAAGTCATTTTCGAACGAAAAACCCAAATCATCAAAGATGGACAGGAAATGGACAAAAAGTTTCAAGGGAAAGTGTCCATGATGTCCACGTGTGACACGTCCATCGGGCCGCCTGAAGGGGAGGATGGTGGACTCACGGTGAAGGGGGAGGTAGGGGCCATCGAAAATAAAGAGGTACCCCCTAAAAAACCTGGCCTGAAAATAACGTTTTCTGTTGACGCCACAGAAAACCTGGCGCGGCAGCCGCCCGCCACCTTTGACGGTGAGAGGAATGTTTCCTTCAGAACAATTATGATGATTTTTTTTCGTTCGGTATTACAGATTATGTTATTTTTTCGATATCCGTTCTTCAAGAAAATTTATCTTATTTTTACTCGACATCCGTACTTTAAAAAATTTTATGCTAATTGCTAAGGGCTCTATTTTTCAAGAAAGTTTTTGTTAATTTCTAAGATCTCTGTAATTCCAGAAATTTGTTGCTAATTTTTAATATTTCTGTTTTTCAGGAAAATTTTTGTTAATTTCTAATATCTCTATTTTCCAACAAATTTTTTATTAATTTGTACGATGTTTGTTTTTCAAGAATTTTTTTGTTAATTTCTAAGATTTCGTTTCATTATTTATGTTATGCCAATATTAATTATCTTAATTCTCAATGTTAATAATAAATATTTAACATTTTCGTTCGCTTATTAATTTGGATAAATAAATATTTTCTACCTTATTCATCAATTTTGTTAATTCATAAGATAAATTTTTCATTGAATTTAGCTTGTGAAATATTATCAATATAGCATTGGAATATTTTATATATGCATCTATAATAATAGAAATTTATATCATGACATGAAGCCATGAATTTTATAGGTGCGACATTCAATGTTTCCATTTGTTATCATTTATAACTAGTTTATAATGAACATTTTTTAAATTTTTCACCTCATCTTCCGTAATGTGGAAAAACCGACATTTTTATTAATAGAAAATAAATTTTTTATCTACGTACCTACTATAGTAGTTTCTACTTCTACGCGTAGAACATGAATTGTTTATATACGTACCTACTATAGTAGCTTCTACTTCTACGCGTAGAACATGAATTGTTTATATACGTACATACAATAGTAGTTTCTACTTCTACGTGTAGAACATGAATTGTTTATACATATATACGTATCTACTATAGTAGCTTCTACTTCTACATTGGATTATTGCGTCTCTCAACAGCCGTGTGTGATGTAGAAAACACATCCTCATCTACCTCGGATCTACCTGAGAAAAAACGTAAGGTTTTCTATCTACTAAAAAAGTTGTATGTTAATTTTTAAGACCTCTGTTCTTTAAGAAAATTTATCTAAATTTCTTTGATTTCCGGACTTTAAAAAGTTGTATGTTAATTTCTACGGTCTCTGTTTTTTCAAGAATTTTTTTGTTAATTTCTAAGATCTCTGTTCATTATTTTCAGTTATGCCAATTTTAATTATCTCAATTCTTATTGTTAATAAAAAATATTTTGCATTTTCGTTCGTTTATCAATTTGGATAAATAAATCTTTTCTACCTTATTCATCAATTTTGTTAATTCATAAGATAAATTTTTCATTGAATTTAGCTTGTGAAATATTATCAATATAGCATTGGAATATTTTATATATGCATCTATAATAATAGAAATTTATATCATGACATGAAGCCATGAATTTTATAGGTGCGACATTCAATGTTTCCATTTGTTATCATTTATAACTAGTTTATAATGAACATTTTTTAAATTTTTCACCTCATCTTCCGTAATGTGGAAAAACCGACATTTTTATTAATAGAAAATAAATTTTTTATCTACGTACCTACTATAGTAGTTTCTACTTCTACGTGTAGAACATGAATTGTTTATATACGTACCTACTATAGTAGCTTCTACTTCTACATTGGATTATTGCGTCTCTCAACAGCCGTGTGTGATGTAGAAAACACATCCTCATCTACCTCGGATCTACCTGAGAAAAAACGTAAGGTTTTCTATCTACTAAAGTTATCTACGTCTGCGTATACAGAGTTATCTACCCAGGTTATCTACCCATTTATATGTGCATCCATTTCATACTACACTCATTGTTCAATTTATGTGCATACAAACAATTATATATATAATATTTTAAAATATTATATAACGTTATGCAATATTATATAGTTATATTGATAAAAACTATCAATATCAAAAACAATGAACATCAAGTTTTTTTTCAAAATTAGCTGCAAAATATTTTATTACCAGATCCATGCAATATTTCTTAAATTGGTAACAAAATTTTTTAATATAACAACAAATCGCCGAAAATATATTTCGATTATGTTTTTATGCTGGAAAAATCTAATCTTTATTTTAAAAATGATATAAAACCATGCTAATAACTGCTAATGTCGATAAAAATGTACAATATTTGCACGTTATTTGTACATATTTTTATTGTAAAAATATCAGTTGCTGCTGATATTGACAATTAATATTTGAATTAACAACAATTGGCTGTAAATTATTTATTAAAGAAAGAGAATTATAAGAAATTTATTATAGGAAATCTACATATTTAAAGCTTGTTTATTATATTTAATAATTTTAATACATGTTTACAGTTTTTAATTTCAACGCATGACTATTTTATTCATTTATTTATAGCATGATCAATTAAATAAATCTATTTTAGTTCATTATATATTTTTCAAGCAACAGAATACCACAAAATATCTCGTTTTCATGCTAGCATAACCGATACATGACATTATTTCCATTAACATTATTTCCATGGTGACAAATATTTATAATGATTATTATTCGTCACTATTGTTCATTGTTCATCGTTCATATAACGCGACGATTTAGACCACGAAGAGGAAATTGCACGTCACTATCACAACAGAGTCGTATCATGGATACCAGAGAAGAAAAAATAAAAGGCTGTAACTTAAGAAGAAAAGGGCATAATTAAGAAAAAAAGGCCGTAACTAGAGAAGAAAAGGCCGTAATTAAGAAGAAAAGGCCGTAATTTAAGAAGAAAAGGCCAAAACTTAAGAGAAAAAGGCCATAATTAAGAATAAA